GGTGAAATCCAAAGAGAAGAATCACAGAATTGTTTGGTTGGAAAAGACCTTTGAGATCATTGAGTCCCACCATACCTGTCCACTCCTAAATCATCTCTCTGAGCACCTCATCTACCCGGCTTTTAAATCCCTCCAGGGATGGTGACTCAATCACCTCCCTAGACAGCCCATTCCACTGCCTGAGAACCCTTTTAGGGAAGAAATTCTTCCTCAGATCCAACCTGAACCTCCCCTGGTGCAACTTGAGGCCATTTTCACTTGTCCTGTCCCTTGGTCCTTGGTTGAACAGACCCACCCCCACCTCTCTCCACCCTCCTTTCAGGGAGCTGGACAGAGCCAGAAGGTCTCCCCTCAACCTCCTCTTCTCCAGGTTCAACAACCCCAGCAGATTTCCTGCCCTCAGTTCCCAGGTTTGGAAAAACTTTTTGATTGATGTGAACCGTTTCCAATCTGGGAGAAGTTGGATGAAGAAGGAGGAAGTATTTTTTTTTCCCCTCAATCTATTGGGAAAAAAATTTAAGAGTTTAAGGGCAGGAAATTGGAGAAAGAAAGAAAAATCTAATGGGGACAGTTGTTTCCATGATTTACAGTTTCCCTTTCTCCTGCTCCATGCTGAGTCACCATCTCCAGCAGGATTTCCCACCCCAGATCCCAGAGAACATCCCACAGCAGGGACAGCCCATGTCACCTCCATCTCTCCCCTCCAGGCTCCCTCCCCAAAAAGCTTTTGGGGGGAACGTGGCAGCACCCAGAGCTGAGAGTCACATGGAAATCCAGCCCTGGGTGGGTGATTCTGCGTCAGCGCTGGTGGCAGAGGTGTGATGGGTGTTGTAACCACGGGATGGTTCTGCAGACACGGATACACACTGCGTGTCCCAGCAGCTTCCCTGGCTCCTGATGGATGGGAAGTGGCCAGGAACCACAGCCCCGTGTGCTGGTTTCTGAGCAGCCCTTGTCCTCCCTGCTCTGAGCTATTTGGGGACATCACTTGCCTTTCTGGGTACCTTTTTGGTGCCTCTTCCACCTCCATGTCTTCCTGTTTTCAGCTTTCCAGGGTCTCTCATTCTGCAGGAGCACAAAGGTGGACAAATTTGGTGGGGCAAATTCTGGGTATAGCCAGTTCCCAGAGCAGCACCCCGATCCCATAGGGCTGTTTTCTCCCTCTTTACAACATGAGAAGATCACAAGGAGTTACCAGCAAAGCTGAGAAGGTGAGAATGGTCAGGGTTGATGGGGACAGGCAGCAGATGGTCCCCAAGAGTGGGCAGGAGATGCCTGCTGCTCACCTCTGCCTCATCTGCTTTTGCCCAAGGTTGGATGAAGCTTTGAGCAACCTGGTCTAGTGGAAGGTGTCCCTGCTGATGGCAGGATGATCTTGAAAGTCCCTTCCAACCCAAACCAGTCTGGGATTCTATGATTAGAAAAGCTGGGGGAGCCTAAATCTCATCCTAGCAAGAGGCAAAGTTGAGGATGCTCCAGCGAGGCAGCCCCTGAGGAAGAAATAAAGTCATCAAGAGATGAGTGGCAAAGGATTGAGAGGCAAAAAAATAGATGAGAAAGAGAAAAATGTGAGTGTAAATAACTGTAAAGAATAAAAGAGAGGAAGGAAAAGGACCCCGAGCGGAGAGGAGGGACCCAGCACGTTCCTGGGGACCTTCAGGCATGTCCAGATCTGCCCGTTAGAGCTGACGATTGCCCAACGCAGCCCAAGGGGCTGAGTCAGGGTTGGGAAGGGCGGTGGCTGCGGGGTGAGACTCATAACCACCCTGATTCCTGCTTTGCCACATCACACCACAGCTGTGCCGAGGACAGAGCCCCCCTCCTCGTACCCCAGCCATGGTGAGTGAGCCGGGACCCCCGGGATGGGGAGGGAAGGGGCTCCTTTAAGGGTGGAAATGGGACAACAACAAAAGAGCTTTTCCCACAAGTGGCCCCAAGAGCTGAAGGCGAGATGAGTTTTGGCAGGAGAACAAGGAGATGGTGCCAAGTGCTGAGCTAAACTTCCACTGGGGAGGGGGTTTGGGTGTGGGAAGAGGGTGCAGAGCTAGAGAGGGAAGGCAGAGGGTCACTGCAGATGTGGGGGACAAGGGGGTGACATTTATGTTGTCCCCCACCACTCCCTCCTTTACTTTTTCCCCCACTGATGCTTCTGCTGCCCATCACCAGACTCAGGGCTGCAGCTCTGCCTCCATCACCCCGTGTCCCCCCCACCCCAATATCAGAGGAGTGGGGTGCAGAGGAACGGAGAGCTGAGGAGCTGCAGTTGAGGGCGGAAACAACTCAGCTCCTCTCACATTAACCAAAAAAGGCTGAACTGAGGCTGAGGCAGGGCAGGATGTGGCAGGGTGTCCCCAGGGTGCTGAGCTTGGCAGGGAAGGGCAGACTCCTCCCAACACCAGAGCTATGGGGAGGGAGGGGAAAGAACCCCACATCCCCCCCTTATCCCCCCTCACCTTGTCCCCATGGCTGTGGAGAGGTGAGCACGAAGCCCTGGGTGATGTCCCCTGAGGCTACATCAGGGTCATGGTGGATTTGAGGTGCCCCGTCCCCCTGGAGAAGTCAATATCCCAGCTCCATCCCCACCCAGAGGCTGTGGTTTGGGGGAGCAAACACCAGCTCACTCGCATTTTTCTCTCATGACTCAGAGTTTCTCCTCAGTCCAGACAGAGCAGGGGGGAGGGAAAGGGGGGGGAGGGAGAGACAGGATTATCTTTCCACAAAAGCAACCCCAGCCAAGTCGTGCTGAAGAGCACGGAAAAAACTAGCACATCAGTGTGGTTTGCAGTGTGGAAGCTTTTCCCAGTCCAGGAGAGGAGGTGACATCTCCCCAGGGGGATTTTCCATGAGCCGCTCCCCAATCCTTTGGGTCCATCCTGCACCACAACCCTGTGCCAAGGTAGCAGAGAAATTAATACCAAAGAAAAATGTAGCTGGACAGGTTGGGCAGAGGAAAAGTCCTCGAGGAAATAAATTGCAGGAGGTTTCTCCTTCAGCCCAACTCTTCTTCTAGAAATAATAAAAGCTGTTCTTCTGCAAGCTCAGAGCTCCCTGCAGCTCTCTCCTCAACTCCTTCTTGTTCCTGCAGCCCACTGAGACCGAACGCTGCATCGAATCCCTGCTGGCTGTTTTCCAGCGGTACGCAGGGCGTGAAGGAGATGCCTGCAAGCTCTCCAAGAAGGAGTTTGTAGCCTTCATGAACACTGAGCTGGCTGCTTTCACAAAGGTGAGCAAAATCCAAGCCAAAAGAATCCCCCTTGTGGCATTCACTTCAATCCCCTGGACAACACAAAGTCTCTGACCCCACAAACACTGTAGGGTGGGAGAGCTTCCTCCCACCAGAAGCATGGCCTGACAAGAGTTGATCAGACTGAATTCTCTCTCCCTCCTTCCCTTCCCAATCCCATTCCCTTCCCAATCCCATTCTCTTCCCAATCCCATTCTCTTCCCAATCCCATTCCCTTCCCATTCCCATTCCACTGGTGCTGAACAGAGCAGCTCCAGTTCCATACCTGGAGCTGAGGGGGTTGAGCGAGGGGCACTTCTGGCTCAAGGAACAGTCATCAACAGGTTGACACTGGCCCAGGTTGGCCAGAGAAGCTGTGGCTGCTCCTCCCTGGAAGTGTTGAAGGCCAGGCTGGATGAGGCTTTGAGCAACCTGGTCTAGTGGAAGGTGTCCCTGCTGATGGCAGGGGGGTTGGGACTGGATGAGCTTTGAGATCCCTTCCAACCCAAACCATTCAGTGATTCTATGATCAATTCCCACCTCTTTTGGTCTTCTGCAGAACCAGAAGGACCCAGGTGTCGTGGACAGGATGATGAAGAGACTGGATCTGAATAGTGATGGGCAGTTAGACTTCCAGGAGTTCCTCAACCTCATCGGGGGCATCGCAGTGGCCTGTCATGAATCCCTGATTGTTAAGACCCCTTCCCATTAGTCCTGGCTACTGTGTCACCCCCACCACTGTGAACATTCCTCAAAACAAACCTGATGGAAAGCTGGAAGGAGTGTCCTTAAAACAGGGCCATCTCCACTCTTCATTTTTATGTATAAAATAAAAGATTTAAAACCCTAGTGTAAGGTGTGATTTTATTTCAGCATCATGAGCAAGGGGGAAAGCACCAGGAAAGGAGTCCAGCCACAACCAGAGCAAGATCTCTAGGTCCCACCTTCTGCAAGTTCTCATCCTTGTCACTGCCAGAAACTACAATCCACCTGGTTTTGGAGATCCTCCAGCTTGTTAAATACCACTGGGGAAAGGTAGAACGATACCAAAGGGTACAACTACACAAGGTAAAAGCAAAGACATTTACAAATAGGGATCATTTGAGCACTGGCAACAGCAATTAAGACACAAATAATTAGCAGAAGCAGCCCCTGCTGACACTATTTCAGGATTAGAGCCTCAATTTGCTGAAAACTTCATAATCTTTCAAGTCTGGTAATTTAAGAGTGGAAAAGAGAGAGGTGGGGGAGGAAGGTGAAAAGAGGAAATTAAATCTAATCTCTCTTCTATCTCAGTAAAACCAACTGAGCTTCAAAACAGGAAGATCAAGATGGTCAGTTTACTTTATTCATGAAAGAAGCTGATGATGTTGAGAAACGTTGCTAGGACAACAAAACAAAAAGTCAACACTAGCATTTGAATGCTGAGCTGCTCCTTCTGCCACTTCTGAGAGGAGCAGAGCTGCCTCTGAACAGGGACAGACCCAGCACCAGCTCCTGTGAGAGTCACCTCAGCTCTTCCTCTGCTGTCCAGGCTGCAGCAGGGTTTTGGAGCTCTTCTTTCAAGAGCTCAACACTAGAAGAGGGAAGAGGCAGTTGCTGCCTCTCAAGTAGTTTTTACAGAGTGCTGCACTGTGTGGTAACCAGGAGACAGCAAGAGTCACCTTTTTTACCCACTGGAATAAAATTTGCCTTCAGACAAGAGGACACAGAAACTTGGCATGAGCTGGATGTGGAAAGAGAAGCACAAGTTGGTACAATTTGGTCTTACTGCAGCATTTCTGGGTGGGGAAGAGCAGGTGAGACACAGCAAAGGGCACAGCTACGGTGAAGAGACTACACTAAAAGCTGCAATGGTGGGGAGGTGAAAGTTTCCACACTGTGCTGAAAAGGAGATCATTTCCTTCCCATTTCACACCTCCCCAGGACAGGCCATGTCCTAGCGGAACTGGAGTGGGCTGATCCTCAGCCCGATGACATCTTTGCCGATCTCTGTCACCTGAGGAGTAAAAGGGAGATGATTAATGCTTCAAAGCAACTCAACAACCCAACCCTGTATGCAGCGTTCAGAGCCTTGATGGTTCTCAAGATCAGTGCAATGTCAGTCCCTGAAGGTAGTGTTTAAACTATGCTCCCTCCCTGGAAGTGTTCTCGGCCAGGTTGGATGAAGCTTTGAGCAACCTGGTCTAGTGGAAGGTGTCCCTGCTGCTGGCAGGGGGGTTGGGACTGGATAAGCCTTAAAAGTCCCTTCCAACCCAAACCAGTCTGGGATTCTATGATATGATATGAAAAGAGGGGAGATGGAGATGAGATGTGAGGAAGAAGTTCTTCACTGTGAGGGTGGTGAGACAGTGTCCCAGGTTGCCCAGAGAAGCTGTGGATGCCCCCTCCCTGGAAGTGTTCAAGGCCAGGTTGGATGAGGCTTTGAGCAACCTGGTCTAGTGGAAGGTGTCCCTGCTGCTGGCAGGGGGGTTGGAACTGGATGAGCTTTAAGGTCCCTTCCAACCCAAACCAGTCTGAGATTCTACATTCCACATTAAACTATTATTTCACAATTCCTAAACTGTTCCACCTCACGTGCCAAGTTCTCTGACATTCAACTTGACCCAAAACTCCATGTCAAGTCAGTTTAGGGGGGAAGCATGTGGGAAGCTGCTGGAGGGGCTTCTCATGGACAACATCATGGGTTAGGAGCAGGTGGTAACAGACATCATGACCCCCTTACTGTAGTGACACGACAGATCTGCCCGTGGAACTCAGGGCAGTAGCAAGCTCCACTGAGAGGACACTTCTCCACGGGTTTGCCACGATAGATGGGTCGGTAAGAAGCAGCACAGATATCAAAGGGGTTGTGCATGTCATAGTTGAGCTGGTAGGTGTCAGTAGGATTCTTCTCACAAGCTGACAAGATCTTGCGAGTCTATAAAATGCAACCACAGTGACCAGAGGGACAGTTAAGAAGCAGTTCAAATAAAGTCTGTCACAGCAAAGATTTCTGCCCGTGACCCTCACAAACGTACCTGCTGGGCCACCTCAGGCTTTGGACCCAATTCCAGCAGCCGACGAGCAAAAGTAGCAGCTGTCTTGAAGTTTTTGAGTTTGAAAAAGAGGTTGAGAGCAGTACGGAGAACTAAGATCATGTGGACAGGCTGCAGGTTGGAGTGGGTGAAATAGGCAGCCATCTGCAGGGGAGAGAAGGAGAGTAGGGACACAATCACCACCAAACACATGAACAACTGGAGGTTCTCAACATGTTGCAAGAAACCTCCTCCCAGGTAATCACTGCCACATCTGCTTTAAAAGAGGAAATGGCAGAATTCAGGATTCCAAACCATTTTTTTTAAACCCAAAGTTTACTTCCTCCTCATCACTTCACAGTGAAGAAGTTTCTGTACCTCACAGATTCGTTTCTGCTGCTCCAAGGTCTCTTTGGGAAGCTTCTTCCGCTCGATCTCCATCGAGAGTCCTACAATATACTCCCGGCAAATAGCTATCAGCTGCTGGGCCTTTCAGAGAGGGAGATAGAGTCAGGGCAGTTGGTCTCCTGCCCCACAGACACACAGACAACAGACAGAAGAGTCTACCTCTCACCTCAGCAATCTCCTGCTTGTTGTCCACCACCAGCAAGGGCACACTGAGCAAGATGGAGCGGAATTTCTCCACGGCCTCCTCAAATTTACCAGCCGTAGTGAGCTGGTAGCACAGCTGCAAACGTTGGATCAGGTCGTTGAGTTTCAGTCCAACAGCAGGGAGGGCGTTCTTCAAGCCAGCTTCTTTCCTTTGGGGACACCAAACAGGGGTTGGGGGGTACAAATGGGACCACTGCAGACATCAGCAGAAACACACAGACGTTTGTCAGCTCGATTGTAACCCGTCAGAAATGTTTTGACCTTGGGCCAGGTTGGTTTTCTTTGCCATTAGCTCAGCACAAAAGCCATCTGTGCTTCCATAACTGTGCCACCCACAATGCCCAACTCTCTCTGTGCATTAGTGCAGATGGGGGAGTCTGACTCATTTTTTAAACAGTGGCTTCCAGGAACCACTGCAGAATCACAGAATGATCAAATGGTTTGGATTGGAAGGGACCTTAAAGTTCATCCAGTCCCAACCCCCCTGCCAGCAGCAGGGACACCTTCCACTAGACCAGGTTGCTCAAAGCCTCATCCAACCTGGCCGAGAACACTTCCAGGGAGGGGACATCTACAACTTCCTTGGGCAACCTGTTCCAGTGTCTGACCACCCTCACAGTGAAGACCTTCTTCCTAATATCTCATCTAAACCTCCCCTCTTTCAGTTTAAACCCATCTCCCCTTGTTTTGTCATTAACTGCCCTTATGAAAAGTCCCTCCCCAGCTTTCTTGTAGCCCCTTCAGGTACTGGGAGGTGCTATAAGATCTCCCCGGAGCCTTCTCTTCTCCAGGCTGAACAGCCCCAACTCTCTCAGCCTGTCCTCACAGCAGAGCTGCTCCAGCCCTCGCATCATCCTCGTGGCCTCCTCTGGACTTGTTCTAACTGCTCCAGGTCTCTCTTGTGATGGGGGCTCCAGAACTGGATGCAGTATTCCAGGTGGGGCCTTACAAGAGCGGAGTAGAGGTTCTTGAGATGCCTCAGATCAACTTTGTCAGAGGCAGAGAGTTAGTGTTAGAAAACACAGCATCCCAACTGCCTCACCCTGGCTTTAAGTCTCTAAAGAATTCTTTAACAAGCAGTTCTTTTACATCTAACAGCAGAAAAAAAAATCCCACTAAAGACAATGCTCCCTATTTATATCCAGCAAACAGGAAGGCTCCTCCCTTCAAAAAGAGAGGGAGGAGATATTTCTGGCTACAGTTCTCAGAGAATCTGGGATGTCTCCAGCACAAGGAAAAGAGGAGAGCAAAGAAGCAAACCCAAGAGCTTACCAGTTACGATGTGGGTATCCATACATGGTAGGGAGACACGGCAGCGCTTGGTAGGTCGTACGACCACGGGCATAGGTCTGCAGGAACAACTGCTTGTAAGGTCCAAAGTTTGTTACTCCTACCTGGTCATGGAGGAGCTGAAAAAAAAACCCAAAACACATTGATCTGCTGAGTAAAAGTTACTCAGGGTTGTACAAAGGCCACACAGACATCGTTTAGACTCACACTACCTCTTATTTTATACCCAGAGAGAACAGGACACAAAATGATTCACAAATGGACACAAAATGATTCACAAAAGGACCCAAAATGAAGCTTCAGACTGGATCAGAGATAAAAATACGTGGAGACAAGGAAGGGCACAATCCTTTCCCTATAAATTCCAGAAGAAACTTACTCTCATTGCTGTCTCAAAGGAGCCTGCCAGGATGTGGTCAACAGGAAGCTGAGAATTGTTACACCAGACCTACAAGAAGAGAAGGAAACATATAAAAAAGGAACTGTGTGTATGCAAACATTTATCTTACCTCATCACCCCCAACTCCCCCTAACAACATTCCTGTGCTCACAGATGAGTGTTAACAAGAAGAACTGAACCCCAAAATAAAACCAACATCAAAACAGGAAGTTTCTGAGAAAGACAATCAAAGACTTGTGCCACTACCTGCGCCGGGCTGGTGCCCTTGGTGGGTGGTACGAAGAATCCATCCTCTGTCGCTCCTGCTGGACCAGCAGGAACATCCTGGGAGAACACACAGAGCAGTTGATTAGTGTAGAAGTTTCTTGCACCCAGATGAAATCAGAGTTGGCCACAGTTGTGCTGACCAAGTCTCTGAAAAAGCCCAGAACACATTTCCCACCCCACCATCACCACCACAAGCTATCATTGCCTTCCCAAGTAATGACAACTGGGCTAGTGAAGAAGCCTCCCAGAAGCATCCTACCAGCTCAGGGGGAAGATCCAAATCTTCTTCAACTTCCCATCCACCTCCTTCTTCCTGTCCTTTGCCTAGACCTTCCTCTCCAAAGCCCTCTCCAGCATCCACAAAGCCATCTGTGAGGAAGAGGCAGGGCGGGGAATAATCAGAGTTCTTACACAGGCACAAACTTATACACTTCTGGCAAGAAAAGCTCTTGGATTCACCCACCTTCATCCAGTTGCAACTCTGCATCTTCTCCCCAGCCTTCGGTGCCAACGGTGTCGATGTCAATATCAGCAGCCAAGGCACCCCCTTTGCCTACAAAAAGAGTAAGATTTTCATTTACTTATCTCTGAGTGGCTCAGGTGTTAAGTAAAGAATTGTTAAGTCCCATCTTGTGCTAAAAGGTCAAAGATTTTACAGAATCACAGAATCAATCACAGAATGGCAGGGATTGGAAGGGACC